GTGTGATTGTTGTGTGTGTGTGTGTGTATGTGTGTTATTGTTGTGTGTGTGTGTGTGTGTGTAGGTATGTGTGTATGTTTAGGTGAGTGTGTGTTGGTGTGTGTGTGTGTTATTCTTGTGTGTTGCACCACATGTTGTGGCGAAGAAGATGGGCAATATCAAGGGAGACATGTTTGTGGGAGGGGGTGTATATATGTGTGTGTGTGTGGTTTGTGTCTGTTATTGGTGTGTGTGTGTGTGTGTTATTGTTGTGTGTGTGTTATTGCTGTGTGTAGGTGTGTGTTATTTTGTGTGTGTGTGTGTGTGTTATTTTGTGTGTGTGTGTGTGTGTGTGTTGTGTCTGTGTGGGGTTGGTGTGTGTTATGTTTGTGTGTGTGTGGTTGTGTATTACACCAAAGGTTGTAGCTAAGAAGATGGGCAACATCAATGGAGACATGTTTATGTGTGTGAGTGTGTGTGTATATGTGTGATTATGTAGTATGTTTGCTTGTATCTGCGTCTATGGTGTGGCGTTTAGGTGCTTCGTTGTTGTGCACAGGAGACCCGAATTCAGTTCCTGAACAGGGAAAAAAGTTTTATTGAGCATATCCATCTTTCCGCTAGGATGTTGTATCCCTCTCAGCCCGGATAGGTCCTGACAGACAAGATCGGAAGCCATGTCTCTTAAGTAATCTACATTGTGTTGATAGGGGTGTAAAATTATACCTACGTTAATATTTTGAGGGTAGCCGAAATTCAAAGCTCAGTTGGTGGGTGGTTGGCAGGTGCTCTGGTGTGGTTTGACCTTTTTTCCTATCAAACATTTATTGTCCTTATCTTTTCTCCTTCATTTTTGTGTTTGTTACTCACTTGCAAAATCTCTAATGTTCGGCACTGATATGGCCCTCTTGTGTAGCAAGTGATGTAAAACTCTGTGTAAAACTAAAATCTCATTTGTTGTCTCAATAGATGCCCTGTTTGTTGTTCTTCCTAGGAATTCTCCAACCTTCAAGTCTTTTGATGAGAAAGTGCACACAACCTACGCAAGTGTCAAGGTGAGGCAAGAGAAATAGAGGGAGAGAGTGAGGAAGAGGGAGGGAGAGAGAGAGAAAGAGAGAGAGAGAGAGAGAGAGAGAGAGAGAGAGAGAGAGAGAGAGAGAGAGAGAGAGAGAGAGAGAGAGAGAAGAAGAAGACGAATGAGAGAGAAAGAGAGAGAGAGAGAAGAAGAAGAAGAAGAATGAGAGAGAGAGAGAGACTAAAGGTATCGTTAGAGAGGGACTGGAGATACCTTTATAGTCTCGAAATGATATTTTTAGAGAGGTGCTTGAGACTTTAAAAATAAAAAGACCAAGTAGAGTGGTTGATAAAAGATGTACTAGTGTGTGTTTTAAGAGAAAGGAGTGCAATTTTTGGGAGTGTCTGGGGAAATCATGTAAGGAATGAGAAAGACCATAGAAAGTCACTATAGCTTCTTCACTTTCATCTGTCTACATTAAAAATTAGTCTTTAATTTGCCAATGCACATTTAACTTTGCATGACACTCCTGTGGACTAGTGACCCCCCAAAAAATTATATTAAAAGAAATCTTTATCTAGTAATATCAAAATTTTCTTTTTTTGGGCCCTATATTAAACACCGTCTGTTGAGTGCTTACTCAACATCACTACATGTGAGGCATCGTGGTGAAATTAGGCGTTCGTCAAAATAATGAAATCAAAGATACTGGCATTTTTCCTCCAGTTTGACCAATTTTTTTTCTAATTTTTGTTTTTTGACTCAACATCTTTAATATCCTTTTATAAACATATTTCTGTGTGGATTTTACTGAAAAACATTGGTTAAAGGCACAACAAATGTAAATTTTCAGTTTCCAAGGACTCTCAAGCTTTGGAAATCACCAAACTTTGGTGGACATTTTCTCGCTAACTTTACCTCTGAAACCAGGCGACCCCGACCTCCTTCAGTCGCAAATATCCCGATTTCTATTCAAGATAGGTGTGTACTTTTTTCGTCAAAAGATGGTCAAACAGACAAGCTCCAGATGCTCAAAAACTGATGAGCGCTTGATTCTACCACGTCGTGATACAAATGGTTTTACGGTAACAAAGCCGACAAATTTCTCATTTTGAGACAGCAACACCACCCTGCCCCAACATTTCAGTGTCAGCTCCGACCTTTATGAATGGGCTTAAGATTCTGTTTGTCATCCGACATTTAAACCTGCAAGTGAAGACTTAAGAGATTAAACAGAGCAATTTGTTTTTATCTTGTTTTAGCTGTGGACAGATAAAAGTAAGCAAGTGATAGTAGGATTTTACAAGATCCAGTGGTGAAATCTTGGCAAGGTGCCACCGATGTCCTTGAAGGAAACTGGGATGAATCGTAGAGAGAGATTGTTTGTTTTACGTTTTGTAAATGCAGGTCCTTAGTCTTGTTTGACGCATTTGTCTATCTTGCTTGTACCTGTGGGCAATAGTGGAGCGACTTCGGATCAGTTGTTTTGCTTAAGGATATGTTTGTTTGTTGATTTTGCTTGTTTGTACTGTAGGTTTGTTTAAACAGAGCATTGTGTGAGTTGTCTATGTGTTTCAGTTTCTTGGTCCAGTTTGGTGGGGGTTTAAAAAAAATTTAAAAAATAGTTGTAAAGTGCATCAGTAGTTTGCTGTAGAATCTGAATTTGCGCCGTTTATTATTATTATTATTACTATTATTATTATTAGTATCATTGTCGTTGTTGTTGTTGTTATTATTTTTATTATTATTATTGGTATTATTATTACTCATTTGTGTGGGAATGTTTGTGTGTGTGTGTGTTTCTGAGTGTGTGTTCCTTCCCTTTTGTTCTTTGATGCTCTCTTTCCTTGAGGTCTGCATGTCCACAATGCGAGTGCTAGTTTTACCACTGTTTCTAGCTGACTGTCTCTGTTTATTCATGGCTGAGTCGGTCCATTTCTCAACTTGTAGTCGTGCCTTTTCTGTCCAAGTTTGTGGCATGTTCCAAAAACTGTCATCTGTGTTGTATCTGTTAGGCTCTGTATCATCTCTTTTTCATCTTGCACGCAGAAGACCATGAGTTTGATATCTGCATTGTGGGTGGATTTTTAATTTTTTGTTTTGTTTTTAGTTTTTGTTGCATTGAGTACCTTGTTCTTGTAGAGGTATAGTGTCCCACTCAACCTGGAATATCGGTTGGCTCTGACAAATATGGGCAAAGTAGCATTTCTCCTGAATGCTGTAAATTGTTTCAATGCAGCGGTAAAAACATTAAACTTGCCATCAGTCGTGATGTTCCAGTGATCGTATTCATCATGTTGACAATCACAGTCATGGTACAGCAAGCTGTGTAATCAGAGTTTTACAGTCGAGCCGACAAATGAACTGAACTGGACGGCCCAGTATAGTATGATTGACACTGGACTTTAAGTGTGATGTAATCAAGAATAGAAGAAAAAAAGTATTCTTTTTGGCTTAAATAGCTCTTTATGGTTGTCTTCGGTTGTTGTTTCTCCCCTCCATCTCTACTCTTCTCTCTCCATCATTTATTTAGTATGACAGCTATCGATTTCAGAGAAGTTTGCAACTCCTTTTGTGTTCTTCTTGTTTTTCTATTCCTGATTTGTTTTTATGAATTTGTACCTGTTGTGTTTTTATCTTTGTCTAGAGATTGTGCATAGCATAGTGGTGATGTGGGTTTTTTAAATGTTTTGTTTTCTATTTTGATATATGTGAGGCAACGAGGTGGAATCAGGCTCTCGTCAAAATAATTAAAGTGAAGAAACTTGCATTTTTCCGCAGATTTGTGAATTTTTATCAAACTTTTGTTTTTTGGCTCAACACTTTTCATGCCCATTAAAGAACTAATTTCTGTGTGGATTTTCTGAAAAACGTTGAATAAAGACACAAAAAATGTAAATTTTTAGTTACCACGGACTCTTAAGCTAAGGAAATAACTAGCCTTTGGCAGCCATTTTCTCACTAATTTTACCTCTGAAAACAAGTGACCCCCACCTCCTTCTTTCGCAAATATCTCAACTTGTATTCAAGATAAATGGATACTTTTTTCATCCAAATAAAGACAAGCAAACAAGTTTTAAGATGATACCAATAACTCAACATGCCCAAAAATTGACGAGAGCCTGATTCCCCCACGCAGCCTCACATATTTTGTTTGCTTGTCTGAATGTACAGGTGTGTAAACATACTACTTTCTTTACCTGCTCGGTTTGTGTTTGTTTACCTCCTTTCTCTGATTTCTTTTAACTAATTTGTTTCATCCCTGGCTGTAATTGCCTATTCAGAATCTTGCCTATGTGTCACAACACCTCGAAATCGGGCACTCTTTAACTTTTGGACATGGAGTTGTCAGTATCATCTTAAAATTTGTTCATTTGTCTTGCTTTTGATGACAAAAATACCTATCTGTCTTGAATAGAATAGAAGTCGAGATATTTTCAGTTGAAGGGGTTGGGGTTGCCTGGTGTCTGGTGTACAATTAATGAGAAAGCAGCCGCAAAGTTTGGAGACTTTCAAAGCTGCTGTATTCTTGGAAACTGCAAATTTACATTTTTTTGGGTGCCTTTCATCAAAGTTATTCAATGAAATCCACACAGAAAAATGGACATAATGAATATTTACCCTGGTTTCATCATGATGCCACACATAAATATGAGTCAACTGCAACAGGGGTGGGCAAATGAAGGCCCATGAAGTGATTTTATGGGGTTAGTGAGAACTTGTTGGGATTATTTAATGTTATTGGTGTAATGTATCTTAACTCTGAGTGCACGGCATCACTCGATTGTTTACAGTGATCACAAAATAACTGTCAAACGTCAGCATATTATTTTGATCTGTAATCAAACTACAGTGAAGTCCACTTAAGCTGATATCTGTGATTTTATTTTATTTCGGTTCCCTTCTATTTTCAAGTTAACCATGTTTTGGTTAAGCAGACTCCACTGTATAAGTATATTGCTTGGATCATAGATTTCCCCTTTGTTTGGTGTTGATTTTAGGAAAATAGGTTAAGTACGAGCGGAGTTATTGTGGGGAAGTTTGTGATGCTGCAAACTTGGATGACAAAATTTGGCTGCTCTCAAAGGTGGCGGTAAATCATTTTGAAGATATTGGCAGTGACAAGATAAGCCGGCTAAGCTTGTGACGTCACACAAAGGCTGTTGTCGACTGAACGTGCTGAACTGTAGTTAGAAAATCCAAACATGTTGAAACTGCCGGTTCGGCCTACAGGTTTAACTTTTTACTAATAGTTTTTCATCCACATCTGCAGTTCTGCGCCTGGTTTGCCTTTCCTTTCCAAACAGGCAGTTTGGAACGTACTTGTGTAGCCGCCTTAAGAGTCAAGGATTTGATGTCCCTCCCAATATTGTACTGCAATTTTAGAGGTGGAGAGAAAGTACTTTTGAAATTGGAATGTGGCTGACTGATTTAGGAGGACAAATGGTCACATTCGTAAAAATCAGTAGCACTGTATATTGAAGAACCAGTAGAGTAGCCGACTGCTTGTAAAGTCTAACAGAAGAGAAAGAAAAAGACACACCCTTACACATCCTTTGATTCCAAATGTACTGACGATTTCTTTCCTTTAGAGCATATCAAGGAGATCAAGATCAGAAGCGAGGGAAGTAGTAGGCTCTACTTGCTTGGGCAATCTAGTACCTCTATGTCTACCACCCAGGCAAAGCTGTATCATACACACTGCCTTAAGATCGTCTGATAAGACTCAAAAAGGCCATGACTCAGAGATGGATGAATTATTAAGGACCTTAAGTATCTTTGAACATTGCACCGTACGGTTATTTAAGAGGTTGATATCGGAGTTTATGGTATAAGGGTTTTGGCTCTTTAATTATTGTCATTGCACGCAGAGAATGTGACTTTGATTTCTAAGCGAGGAAAATTGTTATTCTGTCTGTCTGTATGCCTGGATTTTTGTGTCCCATTCACCTACAGTTGGTCCTGGCTTGTTGGGTCGATTGAGCCTGCCATCTATTCATCTATATGATCCAAATTATTTTGATGGATTCTTAATTATAATCAATCAATCAGGATTAAATGATTATTAAATGTCGTCTACATAGGTCACTACAAATGTGACGACAGAAAATTTAAAATATTTGGATTATTGTAATAAAGAGAGACATCTTCAGTGTAGCAGTATGGTGCTTCATTGTCGCCTGTGGGTGAACCGAGTTCAATTCCCAAGTGGGGAGAAAATGTTCATTGATTATCTTACTCTTTCTGCTGTGATTTTGTATTTCCCTCTGCCCGGGTTGGCTCTGACAGGCAGGGTCGGAAGTCCACCTCCTAAATAATCTAAATTGTGTTGAGGGGGTGTAAAAACATAATATACATTTTTTATTTTAAGTGTGGCAGTGTAGGTTAAATGGCAGGTTGAAACTACTTCTTGTTTTTCCTACAGCTATGGATGTGCCAGGACGGTCTTCTGATTGTTTTTTTTTCTTGTGTGTGTGTGTGGGGGGGGGGGGGGGGGGGGGTGGAGAGATTTTGGTAAGTCTCAGAAGTATGAAGTATGGGTAAATGTTTGTGACATTTTGTTCTTGCTTTGTTAGATAGACATACTTGTGTTTATATACGTACATATATATTTGATATAATATTTATACAAACGCACACCAACGCTCATTAAAAAATGCTTCCCTTCCTTTAAGCGACAGTGTGTACATGTTTTAGTTCTTAAAAAATGCAAGCCTTCTTTTTTCTCAGCTTTCTCCCTGCGTGTGTATGCATGCTCATTTGTGTGTGTGTGTGTAAATGTACATTGTGTGATTGTGTGTGTGTGTGTGTGTGCGTGTGCATGTGCATGTCCATTGTGTGTTTGTCTGTTTGTGTGTGTGCGGGCGTGTGTGTGTAAGAGCTAGAGAGAGAGAGAGTGTTTGTGTGTGGGTGTGTATGTGTGTGTTACGTCTGGGTATGTGTATGTGATAGATTTCTGGCTGTGTAGATTACCTTCCTTCCCTGAAAGACCACCACTTCCCCTGTCCTCATTCATTTTGCAACCTTTTTTATGTGGGAAACCTTCCTGATGGTCTGTGACCCCTGTTGTTCGTCTCTCTTACTCATCTGCATGTTCGGGTGCTCATTCCTGCATACACTCTCACACATGCACAAACACACACACACATACACACACAGGCATAAACATATATACTCACACTAACTAGATTATATTCTTACACGTTTGAACTCTATCAAACACAACTTACACTTCCCAGGCATGCACATTATATACTTTTTCAGTCTCTCTTTCTGTCCCTCCTCCCCCCCACATCTCTCTCTCCTCTCTCTCTCTCTCTCTCTCTCTCTCTCTCTCTCTCTCTCTCTCTCTCTCTCTCTCTCTCTCTCTCTCTCTCTCTCTCTCTCTCGCTCTCTCTGTCTCTCTCACTCTCTCTCTCTCTTTCTATATCTCTCACTCTCTATATCTCTCTCTCTCTCTCTCTCTCGCGACTCTCTCTCTCTCTCTCTCTCTCTCTCTCTCTCTCTCTCCCTCTCTCTCTCTCTCTCCCCACACACACACACACACACACACACACACACACACACACACACACACACACACACACACACACACACACACACACACACACACACACACACATATAGGTACCCAATTCTTCCTCCAGCCCAGTGTAGCTAAGGTCCCCCTCCCCCACCCTCCACCCACCCTCGTCTACCTCTTTACAATTTCTCTTGTTTGCAAGTCTTCCCGCTCCATTGAAGGCTTGAAGGAGCGCTTGGTGAGTGTCTCGCCGTTGTAACTCTAGGACACCCAAGTTGATTACTGTGGTCATAGTGCTGCCAATATGGTGGGGTGGTTGACAGGTGCTCTGATGTGGTTGGCTCCTACTTTCCTAAAAAACATCTATTGTCTTTATCTAATCTTTCTGTGGGTGGTTGGCGGGTGCTCAGATGTGGTTTGCTCCTACTTTCCTATGAAACATCTAATTGTCTTTATCTATTCTCTCTTCTTTCTTTTCTGTGTTTGTTACTTTTGGGTCACCTATCTATTCGGTGGCACTTATGTGACTTAATGTTGTTGCAAGTGCCATAAAATGCTTGCTAAAAGGGCAATAAAAGTTTCTTGTTTTATAAAGCACTTTTTAAAAATAAGAAAAATAAACATATATATATATAGGATAACAGCTCGGCACTTTTGAAAAGTTTCAGTACCAAATGATGCACACTGAAGAGGAAAATTACAAAATGGTTCCTTTCCGTTTTGGTCCAAGTCTGGACTTACCCATATTGGCAGCACCCTGACTCTGTTACTTAAAAAGATACCGAGTGTGTTACTATTTGTTGTAATTTTAAAATACTGGTTGTTTTCGCTATTGTGTTGCAGGAACATTGAGTGCACAGTTTTGTTACTTTAGAATGCCGAGTGTATTGTTGTCATAGCTTTGGGCAACTGGATGTATCGTTGTTGTAGCTTGTGTTGTAACTTAAGAATATTGGACGTATCCTTGTTGTGACTTTAAAGTACTAGATGTATTGTTGTAAATGTAACTTAAAAATTTTGAGTGTATTGCTGTTGTAATATTGATATGTTGTGTGTCGCTGTTGTTGCGGTGTTGTGTTGTGTGTGTGTCAATGTTGTGATCATGAAGTACTCAGGCATGTCAATGTTGCATCTTAATAGAGCACCATTTTAGAATTGTTGTAATGCTGTGAATGATCCCAAGTGCTTCATTGTTGCGGGTGGTTGGAGGGCGCCAGTGGTTCGTCCGACTTCTTCACTTTCTTTTCCTCTATTGTTTCTGTCTGTCCGTCTCATTACATGACCATTATTGTGTCAGTGTGCTTCACTCAAACAAACAAACAAACAAATAAACAAACATGATTGTCAGCACAACGTGGATTATGATAAGTAGCCAAGTACTTTGCTAAAATCAGAGCTCCCGGATATTTCTTTTAAACCATCGAAGAACCTAAATCAGGTTTGCATAAAATCCGACTCATATTTTGTTTTTAATTTGTTTCTTTCTGTTTTTGAATTCCGTTTCCATTGGTCTTATGCGACTTGTTGTAAATTACGTAAATATACTTTTTATTTCTAATTGTGTCTATTCGCAATATTTGCATGACTTATGGAAAATGACGTGAAACACACACACTTAAAAAAAAGAAAATAAGTAGTAGCGTGTATTTGCTATAGATGTTTATTTGTCTTTCATAGTTTGATACAAACTCTTAAGGTATCTGGGTTCTGGGCTTGGCCGGCCAGTGCCCTCCATTTTGACACTCCGCATGAGTGGAGTCTTGATTTTTTTGGTTTTGAAAAGTTGGCAGCTAAGGTGGCTCTGCACAACCAGTATCTGGTACAGTGGTAAGGCTCTTTGTCGTCGAAAGCAGAAGACATGAGTTCACTTCTTTGAGTGGGGATATCCTTATTTGTTGCAAGTGCTGTAAATTCCGACTAAAACTTTAAAAAATAAACATCTTATCCTATAATCATTTAATTATTATTTATTAATGTGCTCATCCTTCACTGTACAGCTTCAGCTTAGTGATGTGCTTATCTTGTCACCATGTTTGTTACTGAGCACTTATAAAGACTCTTTGTTGCCGAATGCCGAAGACTTGAGTTCACATCTTTTGAGTGTGGATGATATCTACTTTTTAAAAAAAATTATTATATCCGGCTGTCTGTTTGGATACTTTAACCCTCTCAGCTTGTGTTGGCTGTGTCAGACAAGGTTTGAGCTGCCGATCTCCTTAAATGAAGTGAATTGCGTCATTGATAATGTAAAACATGTAACTGTACATTTTTCCCCTGAACCACATAAGGGATTTTATTTTGTTTGTTTGTTTGGCTTCTTTGTTCTTATTTGTTTTGTTGCTGTTCCTAGATTTTAATTAATTTGGTTTTTTTTCGCTTTCTGTGTAGATAAAGCACATTTTAGAGCTTGCTGTTGTAGGGATATGTGCTATACAAATGCTTCTTCCTTCTTCTTCTTCTTCTTCTTCTTCTTCTTCTTCTTCTTCTTCTTCTTCTTCTTCGTCTTCTTCTTCTTCTTCTTCTTCTTCTTCTTCTTCTTCTTCTTCTTCTTCTTCTTCTTCTTCTTCTTCTTCTTCTTCTTCTTCTTCTTCTTCTTCTTCTTCTTCTTCTTCTTCTTCTTCTTCTTCTTCTCCTTCTCCTTCTCCTTCTCCTTCTCCTTCTCCTTCTCCTTCTTTCTCTTCTCATTATTATTATTATTATTATTATTATTTATTATTATTATTATTATTATTTTATTATTATTATTATTATCATTATTATTATTATTATTATCATCATCATTATTATCATCCCCATTATTATTTTTTTAAATTTTATCATTATTATTATTATTATCAGTTTTAATATTAGTAGTAGCAGTATTATTATTCTGCCAATGGTTGGGGTACGCCACTGGTTGGTCTTATTTCTTTACTTTCCCTCTGTTGTTTCTGTCTCTCAGTTTACTCTTTCCATGGACTATGATCATTATTGTGTCGATGTGCTTTTCTTTACTCAAACAAACAAAAAAGTATTGTTATCATTTTATGATTATTATAATTATTATATTGATGATTTTTGCTATTCTTCTTCTTTATTTCTTTCTTTGTGGCTTTCTGTTGTTCAGGACCCGCTGTTTAGGGTAAAAGAGGGAGTGGGTTTTTGTTGGCTTTTTTATATACATATATATCGATTTCAGAGTGCTTTTTCACTTTTGGTCATTACTTACCATGATAGCTTTTTGATGTGTCCTCCTGTCTAGTGTGTGCTGTGACTTTTTTTCGTGTACTGTTTTTTTTTTTTTATGGGCTTGTATATATCTCTGCGGGTGGTTGGAGGGTGTCACTGGGAGGTCCTACTTCTGGTTTCTGTCTGCCTGTCTGACCTTTTCCCCAGCAGTAAATGACCATCATTGTGTCCTCTTTAGTCAAACAAACAAACAAAACAAAACAAAAACAAACAAGTATGTAATCCCTGCAGTGGTTTGTGGGGGCTACTTGTTAATCCTACTTCTTTTCATTCTCTCTTGTGTTTCTGGTCAGTTTTAGAAAGAGTTCTATTGCACTTGCAACACAAATTAAATAGGTCATATTAGGTGCTGAAGATTGGAGGTCTAACTAAAGAATAACATACAAAGAAAAGGAGGAGACATTCATTAGGACATTTGAGTCTGATAGAAAAGACGGAGCAAACCACACCAGAACACCCGCCAACCACTCACACTTGAATATTTTTGTCAAACATTTTTTCCCTGCTGCACTTATTGACCACCGGCACATCAATGTGCGTGTCTTTATTCGAACTACACGTTAATGCGTGATAACCTCTTATCCCTGGGTGGTTGGTTGGTGCTCTCTTGTGGTTTGCACCTTCTTTATGATCTATCGTCCTTATATCTCCTTCTTTTTTGTGTTTGTTATTCTCTTGTAACACCTCAGCATAATCTTTGGCATTTACTTATACATGTATAACGTAATTGTGTTACAAGTTCCATAAAACTCTCACTAAAACCAATATATTGTAACACCTATAGAGCTTGTTGTTGAGTGGCAATGTAAGCTATACCAATGATATTTTTTTTTAATTATTTATTTTTATTATTATCCCACCTTGCCTCTGTTGTGGCTTTTTAACCCTTCCAATCCCAGCCATTTTTGTGCTCTCCCTAACCTCAGTCCCAGCCAATACAGCAGTATTTCAGAAAAAGAGGCAAGCTTTCTAAAAAGTAATGTAGTGTCTGTGTCATGAGGTTTGTTTGTTGTTTTTGTAAAGTGTTTTATGGCGCTCGCAACTGCATAAGGTCATATGAGCACGCGGGACACACGTAATATTTTCAGTTGGTAGGAAATATTGAATTTTGCCTGGGTGGCGGCCGAAGCCTACTCTTATCGATTTTAGACCACCAAGGGATCTTTAACGTGCGCAACTTGCACACGCGCCCTCCGAGATTTTTCGCCCTTGTCCGAGAAGGCTAGGTGTAGATCTTTCCTATCAGAAGATCAGGGGTGTGGCAGAAAGGCAGCAGTAAGGAGGAGCCAAGGAGGAGCAGTAGGAAGGCTGCAGAAAGAGTCAGGAGCCCAAAGGAGGGGGCAAAGGAGGTGAGGGGGTGGGGGCAGAAAGTGGAAATGAAAGCAGACAACAGAACATTGCTAGAGAGCAGGAAAGGAGGTGAACTGAGTCAATTTTAGAGAAGAAAATTTTTCGGTTGCTACCCGGATTCGAACCCTGAGACCTTTGAATGAGAGGCCAACACCTTAACCTCTAGGCCACGAGAGCCCCTGTCATGAGGTTTAGATAATAACATAAAACAATAACAATGTTGAAAGCTAAATGAACAAATATTATAAAAACTAATGTTTATTTAGGATGACTAATTTTGAAAAATGGTCAAATTCGGTACCCCTTGAAACTGAGAATATTCACTCTTGGGATGGTGGGAGGTAAAAGCGCTGTTGAAAATATATACACTTGGGGCTGGAAGGGTTAAAAATATGGCAGCACTGTCTAAATCGCCCAAGACAGCCACCCATTGTTGTCCCGGAGAAAAGTTGTGTCTTGAAAAGGGCCATTATAATTATATTTAAAATAGAATACAAGTGGAGGATGTAAGGTGGTTGTTGGTACAAGTGTGATTGTCTTAGACAGGTGGCGGTTAATAATAGTTTTACGGCACTTGCAACCCTAGGTCATAATATAATTGTCAAAGATCAGAGGTGTCACAAGAGAGGAGCAAGCAAAAAAGATAGAGTGGAGATAAGG